TTTTTTTTTTTTTTTTTTGTGCTCCTTGTTTTCTTTTATCGTGTTTAATGATTTGCTTTACTTGTTAAATTTTTTCGAAGAAATTTGTTTGCTCCATTGCTCTAATTTGCTTAGAGAAAGTGATTAAAGAGAGCAAATGCAGTTTATATTGCGGTGTCAAATACGTAGTTATTTACTTGAAAAGAAAAGCAACCGACAACCTATATTGGCTTTATCAGAAACGACGGCAAAGCTGCAGTTTCCGTCAAATTTCATGAAATATCTATAGTCACCAAACGCAATGAAACATGCAGTCTTCTTTGAATTTACAAATTTAAATTACTTTACCGTCAACACGTACGCATAAATCATTTTACGGATCTAATTTATGAGCTGACTGCAATGATATGAGAAGCATTGCTTCATTTCTTCTACATTTTATCGTGGGTTCGGTCACTGCTGACCGAAAAAGCGGGAGGTCTGGGAACGAAATCAATAACCACTTGAAGGCTTAATGTCTTTAATTAAGCCTCGTTTATTGAATGAGATGCAAAAGGGAGAACATGGCTGAGATTTGAAATACGGTGAGACAAACCTTCAGGTCTAGTCTGTTTTATAATCTTGAAATTGATTTTGGCTCAAACTGTTCAGTTATGTATTTTGTAATTATTACAAGGTTGCACTGTTGCCTTGGAAACGGCGCGTTTGTTACCTTCCGTTCGATGCTTCATGAAAACAGTCTTTTCTGCAAACAGATCAATGTACTAAATGGTTGTAAGGTGATAACTTAAATTTCAGAAATTTGTTTGTCCAAAGCGGTTGTCAACCATAAAATTTGATAAACCCGTAAAACCATAAGCCATAAAATTTGACAAACAAACGTTTCCCCAAAATAAATTAATGTTTATGTTTGGGAGCTAGCGTTGCGATATGATATATAAAGGATATTAAACGGCGGCGCAGAGATATAGAGGATATTACATGACCGCGCGGGGGATACGAATTTTATCACGAGTTAGCTCAGCGAACGAGTGAGAGATGCCATAGCTACGAAGCTACGAAAAGATAAAATTCGTATCGCCGCGCGGTCATGTAATATTCTGTTTAGTACATGGATATTGATGAAACATCAAAATCTTAGAAATCCCAGTTCATTTATTTATTTATTTATTTATTTATTTATTTATTTTAAAAGCACCGAAAAAAGTGGTCACCTTAATTAAAGACGGGACTGTGATTGAAATGTGTCAATTGATATGACAACAGCTAACAATTCCACAAAACGAAAAATTAAGTAAGTTTTTTCTCAGGAAAACGCTATTTTCTGTGCTAAAAACATCAATTCAATCTTATGATGGTGAAAGAAAAAAATATGCATGTCCGTAACCATGACGACATCGATGTCCTTACATGGGAAAGAGAAAAATAGTATCTGCACTGACTGCGCCCGATTAGAAATCAAATTTTAGGAACGAGAAAAATCACATTATTTCATCAACATCTATATATTGATAAGTGAATTTTATTTTAGAGCTGTTTGGTCAAACAACAGCGAAAAGGTAAGAAAGTACTGAATATTTTCAATAGTAAGGTTATGGAAAATACGCCAGTATGAATTTTACGAGCGGCTATTTTTCAGTAAAACCCTCGTGTCTATATAATAATTGGCGATAATTCATATATATCCAGTAAACACGTTACTGAGATACAAGATATATTCATCTCATCTAATGATCTTGATCGACATCGTTATTATTCATGGTCTTTATACGAAGCGCGTGTCACCGGAGTTTGTTTACCAGCTGGTTGTCATCGAAATTAAATTCCAATCAGAAAATGACAGTTTGAAAACGTAACGGTGGTGAAGATCAGAAATTCAGCCATAACATAAGCTTCATTTATTGAAATAACACTCAAACTTATTTGCTAATGTGTCTTATTGGAATACGTTCTTCCAACACAAAAGCCAACCGCATTTTTGCTAAGAACGTTTGTTGCTATAGCAATAGATCCAATTTCCTGTTTGAAACAAATTCTAGTTGATTTTAACAAGACCTACCTGTGAGAAAATTGTTTTTAAAACTCAGTAAAACAGTAATCTCTTGATAGTTTTAATGATGAATTACCGAACTGTGTAAAAATTCGTTATTGGACCTTCGCCTTTTCAGGGCAGGTTGTTTAGTTTTTTTATTCATTCAGTGAACAGCTAAGTTTACAAACATGCTTATTCCAACATGTGTTTAAAAGGGTTTTAATTTATCTACAGTTTGCGGTATAATATTTCATCACTTTCCCCATAAACACCTGAGCGACGAAGGACGTTTTACAGCAAAACACTTAAAATTCCATCCGAGAAGCTACGGACATTAATTCAAAAATGTTCAATTTAAAAATTGCCTTTTACGTAATGTTGTTCGTGTTGTTTATCAATCAAGGCTCTTCCTTCTCCTTCAATTCACGCCGAGAGAAACGTTTTTCGTCCGGCTTCACTTACCCAGGAACAAAATGGTGTGGCATGGGTAAGTAAATGTATGTGAAATATATAAGTACAGAACAGACACGTTGTGAAAAGAACATAGTAAAAAATTCGACATGGTTCATTATATTTCGTGCATTAGTTGCTGGGTGATCATCCAGCAACTTTATAAGATCCGAGAAAAAGATTACCATATTCGAAAGAAATCTCTCAAAACGGTATTGCATCTTGTTTAGACGACATAAATCTATAATTTAACAATAATTATAATTTCAAATGCGGGCAATGTATTCATGTGTTCTGACTGAGAAGTTCATCACAAGCACTTATTTGCTATACTAGTTTCGGTTATTTCGCAAAATCTCATTATGTTTTGTCAACAACTTATCACTAATAGCCTTATCCACCAGTTTAACAACCGGGGTTTGATGTAAAATGAAATTCTCCTGACTACAGTCGTAAGAAATTTGCAGAGATTAATGAGAAGAATTTGTTTTTTGAACATCAGGATATTGAGCGCCAGAAAACCGTGAGCGTTATTTGGAAGAGCTGGGACCTAATGGTTGGCCGACTGGACCCTGGATTGAGTGGTCTGGGTTCCAGTCCAGCCCAGAGTTGTTTTGCCGTGTTATTAGGCAAGAAACTTCAATTTTACCAAGTNTCATTATGTTTTGTCAACATCTTATCGCTAATAGCCTTATCCACCAGTTTAACAACCGGGGTTTGATGTAGAATGAAATTCTCCTGACTACTGTTGCAAGAAATTTGCAGAGATTAATAAGAAGAATTTGTTTCTGAACATCAGGATATTGAGCGCCAGAAAACCGTGAGCGTTATTTGGAAGAGCTGGGACCTAATGGTTGGCCGACTGGACCCTGGATTGAGTGGTCTGGGTTCCAGTCCAGCCCAGAGTTGTTTTGCCGTGTTATTAGGCAAGAAACTTCAATTTTACCAAGTCTCTTTCCAGTGAAAATGAGAACTGACGAGCTTTTACGGCAAACAACTTAACCGTATACGCTTTTACATCGACTGCATACATTTTTAGTCTGTTTTCAAATTGTAATTGATTTTAAGAAATTTCTGTAAGAGAGGGCCACAAAATTTGATTACACTCACCAGACTTTTTCAATTTGACTTCGCAATCTTCCCCATTATATCTCTCGTTTTGTTTCATTCAATGAAAATCCGTCTATGGCCTGGGGAGGGGGGGTACTCCCATATATATAAGATATATGGGTATGTGCCGCTGTTAAGGGGTATGGTTTACAGACAGTCTAGAATAGGGTACAATTTACCGGAAAAGTGGCCAGTGTTGAAATAATTTAGTTTAGAGCAGGATTCTTTACCCCGGGGTTCTATAATAGAAATTGAAACTCGAAAGTGACTTTGTAAGGCATTGGTGTAGTCAGCTTATGTTGAACAATGATAGTGATAAAGTTTCTGCATGGAAAATAGATAGTCTGGCATATGGTAGGGGGTTTTGGTGCCCAGTCTAGAAGAGGGTTGCAAAATCAAGCTGATCATAGTCTAGTAAAGGGTAAGGGTTTTCAGTGTCCAAGCGGCAAACCCATACAAAGATTTACAGAGTACCCATAGGGGCCGTGTCTTTGGGTTTTGACCTTTCGAAGTTACAGTCGAACCCCTATTAAGCGGCCACCCATTAAATGGCCACCCCCTATGAGAGGCCAGTAATAAAAGTCCCGATGAGGGCTCTTCTATTGTTTTTGCCTCTATTAAGCGGACAGCCGCCTATAAGCGGCCACTATCCATTTCCCAGAGGGTGACCGTTTAATAAGGGTTAAACTAAATACTCAGGCTAGTGCCCCTTTAATGTTTCAATTCTAATTTTCGATCGCAGGTAACGAAGCAAAAAACTACGAAGATCTGGGAGTGAATATTAAGACTGACAAATGTTGCCGTACTCACGATCAATGCAGAGAATACATCCCAGCCTTTGCCTCCATTGGCGGAATGCAGAATAACTTACCTTACACGGTCTCACACTGTGATTGTGACTCGGCCTTTTATCAATGCTTAAAACAAGCCAACACTGAGACAGCACAACTGGTTGGAGATATGTTTTTCAATGTCTTAAAAGTACCTTGTTTTGTTTGGAAAAAGAAAGACTGTCCTGACGGAAGATGCCAGGAACAACGAAAGGCTGTTTTGCAGCTTCCTAAACATTTTCGCTGAGCGGAAAAATGTTACAACTT